TGCACACCACCAATATGTATAAGGATCTGATGAATTCTATACGACTGATTTTGTCGAGCAGATTTCTACAGTCTCAATACCATTAAACTGCTGGTTAAAGAGAATTACATGTTTAAAAAATACTCAAGTCCTGTATTTAACCTTTAAGTGCTACAACACTCTATAATTCTACCACTGCACTGCTGGGGAGTCTCATAGCTCCAATACTCCAAAAAAAATTTTCCACCAAGCACAGTCACCCCAAGTGCTGTGTGGGTTGGACATAAGAGGGTTAGGTTATAAGGGTCTGAAGATCTTTACCTATACTGAAAGCAAGCAGCTACCTAATCCGTTATTATATAAATGAAGGTCTTAACACTAGACAGAGTTAGTCACTAAAGTGAAAACTATCAGAAGTTCAAGGTGAAGTCCAAAGTTAAAGGAAAACTAGAGTCAGGAACACAAACATGTATTCCTAACCCTATAGTGCAAAACCCGCCATTACGTGGCTTGCCCCCCACTTAGCCCTCTTAAAAGCAATTAAAACTCACCTTATTTCCAGCGCTGCGTGGGCCCGCCGCCGCTGGTCCCGCCCCCTTGGTGACATCAGAATTGCAGTTCTTTTGCCAATCCAATGCTTTCCCCTAGGGAAAGCATTAGATTGGCTAAAAACGGGAAGAGGCGGGGCCAAACACAGTTTTGGCTAATCAGCACCTTCTTATAGAGGTGCATTGAATCAATGCATCTTTATGAGGAAAATTTAGCATCCTCATGAAGAGCGTGGAGACGCTGAACGGCAGAGCTGCCAACTGTGCAGCACTGAGCCAGGAAGCACCTCCAGTGGCCATCTGAGGACTGGCTACTTGGAGGTGTCCCTGGGGGCAATGTAAACACTGCCTTTTCTCTGAAAACAATGATTATACCCAACAGATTAAAGGGACACTATAGTCACCAGAACAACTACAGCTTATTGAATTTGTTCTGGTGAGTAGAATCATTACCTTCAGGCTTTTTGCTGTAAGCACTGTCTTTTCAGAGAATATGCAGTGTTTACATTACAGCCCAGTGATAACTTCACTGGCCACCCCTCAGATAGCTGTTAGAGATCCTTCCTGGGTCATGGCTGCCTAAAATGCATTCAAACATTCAGTATCTCCTCCATCTGCAAAAAATGGATTTTCATTGGCTGCAAAGGCCAGTGCCGCAACTACTTTGAAAAGCAAGTATGTAGGGCTTATGAAACATTTTTGCAAATTTGAGTGAATGCATATTGTTGCTACGATTAGATGCATAAAGAATATGCATTTTTGACGCAAGGTTTCCCTTTAAAATGTTCACTCCATATTAAGCTATATACACAAAGCCATTTTCATGCTAACACCACATGTCCGATACAATTGGTGACTGTGGTGCCTCATGTCTATGAAATGGACACATATTTCAATGGTCTTGAAATAAGACCGAAGCAGGAAGTCAAAGTGAATGCATTTATTAAATCAAATTTGATTTTGCAATTAAAACATGTTAATTTGCCACATGTATGAGTGGGAGTTATGGAAAATATAAAGATAACAGATGTTACCAGTTTACTCATGGTACACTGCACTGTTGAATCCACTGAACTCAACAGTGAATGTAAAAGTGCAGTCATGTGAACACCTTTAACCTCTTAATAAATTCTTAATTGTTCTTATCAAAATAGCAGATGAATGGTGAAGCAAACGTTAATGGAGTACTAAAGCTAAAGGAATTTTTATTTTTGAATGGATTACATCGATAATGCATTACACACATGCAAATCAGTCAATAAATAATAATTATTTTAGAAAGGCACATCTGAAATGGCTGCATTTGCAATTATTTTGTAGGTTTCACATAAACTGCAAGTTTGCACTGCCCAAAGAAGGAAGTGATCAGTCAACCGGAATGCTCAGATTATTTTTCTAAGGGACTTTTAAAAAAAATACTGCCGTTATCCTACAGCAAGTTATCGGCAGATCAGGGGTTTCGGGAAATTATAGTTCAGTTAGCAGCTTTTCTATGTATGAAAACATTTACAAGAACCAAAACTCAGAAACCTGTACTGTTGGTTGAGAGGGACGGAAAAATAACTCTATGCAGGTACTGTAATTCACATATAGATATTTTAGATGGAGGAGGTGGGAGACAGCAAGAAGGTTCTAGATTCAGGAAGCTGAAAAATTTTGTTGTTTTTTTAAATTGCAAAAAGTATAAAAAGAACATTCCAAGAAAAGTTATTAAGTCAAAAGAAACGAAAAAAATGTATGGAAAGAAGAAACAGAAGAGATTTTGGTTCTCCTATACTCACCATTTCAGAGGACTTCCTTCATATTCAAACCAGATTTCGCTAATATCTTCTGTACGCATTACCTTCTGGAAATGCTTTTTTACTTTGTCCGTTACCAGTGTCAGATAGCTTATACGGGGTAACAGCAACTGTAAAACAAAACACAATTCAGTTTAATTCTTAGAACAGCTCTGCTCCACTAGTCCTGCCATGGTGCCTGGGCTTTGAATTTAGTGGTTCCTAGCAACACATATGGTTATATAGTATATACTAAAGTAAATCCTACAAAAAGCTTCTCCTTTGAACAACTTTTCCCCCTGGAGAAAGAGTCTTGCATAATGCCACTTATTAGTTGTTTCCTGTCTGTTTTATTCCTTAATAATTTTTTTCTATTCACCACAGTGTGTAGACATTGAGCAATTACCACTTAAGGTGGTTCGTGTTCTTTTGGTACCTATTCATATTAACAAAAATAATCAATGAGCTTTATTATCCACAGTGGATGGATGTGTCTGAAGGTAGCAGTGGGGGCAATCAGGAAGAATCTAGAGTGCATAAGGTTAACAGCAAATTTCATCTACCTTGAAGCTCACGTAATAGCCACTCTAGGTATAGCCTGCTCTATTCGTAAACCATCCTTATTTTAAAGTAGTGCAGAGACCATTCTCATGATCTAATATCTGTTTATTTGCTGTGTATGAAGATCTATGCACCAAAAGTTGTTTTTGTTGTTCTAAAACAGAGATTAAAAAAATAAAATTAAAATAAACTATCGGTGCAAGTTTATTCGGATGCTATACAATATTTAGGAGAGGGATGCAATGTATATTTGCCCCACCCCTTGTTGTCAAGGCCACACCACTTACTGCTCACTGTTAAATTAACTTCTATCCATGACCTATTTATCTCCCACTCCCTAAACCTACTTGCACTAACAGAAACATGGCTCTCTCCATCTGATACTGCTACCCCTGCCTCACTATCCTTTGGTGGTCTTCACTTTACCCACAACCCAAGACAAGCTGAGAGTAAAGTTGGCGGTGTAGGATTTCTGCTTTCACCCCACTGCTCCTTTTAAACTCTACCCACCCACCCCCTTCCCATCATTTGAAATTAATTAAATTTTCCTCTTCCTTAACCACTTTGCTGCCTGGTTACCCTACTTCCACTCTTCTAATAGTTCATCTCTAATTCTCAGGGACTTCAATATTCCCATTAACCCACCTTTGACCTCAGCAGCCTCTAAACTACTTTCAATTACTTCCTCCATCGGGCTATCGCAGTGGGCTAATTCTCCGACCCAGGTAGCTGGCAATACCCTCAACCTCATTTTCTCCTATGCATGAACAGTATCTAATATCTGCAACACTCCATTTCCTTTCTCTGATCACCACCTCCTATCGTTTGCTCTCAAGTACTCCCTCACCCAACAACCTCAGGAGGAACCTTAATTATACTGACCTCCAGCAGCTGTCAGCTGATATTGATTCACAATTGCTATCCATCCCTTCCCTCTCCTGTCCCTCACTGGCCATCTCCACATATAACACTACCCTCACCTCAACCGTGAACACTGCAGCCCAGTTCCAAACATGAACCTCGAGGATTACATGCCCCCACCGTGGCATACTAAATCAACACGTTACCTGCAAAGTTGCTCCCGTTGTGCTGAATGCTCCTGGAGGAAGTCTGGCATCCAGTCAGACTTTCTCCATTATAGACTTATATTGTGTTCATACAACGTAGCCCTTGCCCTCGTCAAACAGTCATACCTTTCCTCTCTCATTAGTTCATGCTCCCGCAATAGCAGGCGTCTATTTGACACCTTTAGCTCTATTCTTCGCCCTGCTGTGGCCACCCCTCAAACTAACCTTACAGCCGATAGCTTTGTATGCTAAGGAAAGAATTCTCCCCACCTTGCCTTTCTCTTTCTCAGCTACACGATCATGCCTTTCCAACCCATTAGACTTTCTCCCTGGCTACTGAACCACACTTAAGAGGTGGCTGCGCTTCTCCTCTCGCCCCACCACTTGCCCGCTCGATCCTGTCCCATCTCACCTTATCAGATCTCTCTCCCCTTGTCTTGTGCCTTCCTTAACACACATCTTCAACTGCTCTCTCTCTTCTGGTGTTGTCCCTGCTGCCCTTAAACATGCCACTGTAGTACCCATCCCATCTCTTGACCCGTCACCCCCCTCCAACTATCGTTCCATATCCCTGCTCTCTTTTTCCTCAAAGCTTCTGGAAAGACTGGTCTTTACACATATCTCTCACTTCTTCAATTACAACTCTCTCCTTGACCCTCTTCAATCTGGATTCCGCCCTCTCCACTCTACTGAGACTGCTCTTATCAAAGTTACTAATGACCTAGTCGCAGCTAAATCCAAAAGGCCACTACTCCATACGAATTCTTCTTGATCTCTCTGCTGCCTTTGACACCGTTGATCATGCTCTCCTTTTTCAAACTGTTCGATCTCTGTGATTCTGTCCTCTCGTAGGTTTTTCTCTTATCTCTCCCAACACTCATTCAGTGTCTCCTTTTCTAATGACATCTCCTCCCCTCGTCCTGTCTCGGATGGAGTCCCCCAAGGCTCTGTCTTTGGTCCCTTTCTATTTTCTCTTTATACTGCCTCTCTTGGTAAACTTATTACCTCTTTTGGATTCCACTACCACCTGTATGCTGATGACACTCAGATATCTCTCTCCTCCCGTCCTGCAACGTGTCACTGCTTTCCTATCTTTCAACACTGACTGGATGTCCTCCTGCTTTCTGAAACTCAATCTCTCTAAAACAGAGCTCCTTGTCATTCCTCCTCCTAATACTGATCCTCCTCTTTCGCTCTCCCTTCAAGTTAGTGGTATCCACATAAGTCCATCCTTGCAAGTGCGCTGTCTTGGCGTCATACTTGACTCTGGCCTCACATCCAGTATGTAGCCGAATCCTGTAGATTCCATCTTAAAAACATAGCCCACATTCGCCCCTTTCTTACGCAAGATGCTACCAAGGTGCTTGTCCATGATCTAGTCATTACCCGCATGTATTATTGTAACCCTCTCCTGATTGGTCTTCCCAAAAGCCGTATTGCCCCTCTATACTGATTTTACTCTCTAGTCAGACTGATTTTACTTTCTAGTCAGTCCTCTCACACCTCACCCCTCTGTCAGTCCTTACATTGGCTTCCTGTATCCTATAGGAGTCAATTCAAAGTGTTTACCCGTACCTATAAAGCACTGAACAATTCTAGCCCTTCTTATATCTCTTCACAGATCCATAGGTATGCCCCTTCACTGTCTCTCAGCTCTGCCCGTGAGCTTCTCCTGTTCGTTGTTCACACCTGTATGGCCAACTCACGCTTGCATGACTTCTTGCGGGTGGCTCCCTTCCTATGGAGTAGCCTGCCTACCGCCATCAGACTCTCCTCTAGTCTTCAATGATTTAAGAAGTGTCTTAAAAACCCATCTCTTTAGGAAAGCTTATGGCCTCCCAGACTAACCTGTACCTTACATACCTGACTCTTGCGCTCTCCTAAAGGGCAGCACTCTACTCTCTCCTCCAGCTCTGCTTCACTCCCACCTTATTTGATTGCTATTTCCTGTCATAATGTGTTTTATACCCCAACTCCTATAGACTCTAAGCTCGTTTGAGCAGGGTCATCTTCAACCTATCGTTCCTGTAAGTTTTCTTGTAATTATCCTATTTATAGTTAAATACCCCCTCTCATAATATTGTAAAGCACTACAGAATATGATGGCGCTATATAAATGGCGATAATAATAATAAGAAGAAACACCCCTTCCTCTTTAGGCTCTATATCTTCTTCTATCTACATAGATAGAAGAAGATGTGGATAAAAAGTGCATATATACCACCAAGCACTAGTGTATATATCTTTCGCACAGCAACTGCAGCCAGGACTGACACCAGAAATTTTCAGGCCCCTAACCCAGCTGTGAAGTGTGGAGTGGATGCAGTGTGTGTGTGTGTTTGTGTGTGTGTGCGTGTATGCGCAATGGATACAATGTGTGTAGTGGATGCAGAGTGTGTGTTTGTGTAGTAGATGATATGTGCAGCGTATGCTGTGTGTATAGTGAATGCAGATGTGTAGATAGGGGTTGCATTCTGTGTGACAAACATTTAAAAAAAAAAAAAGAAATTATTTTCTTACATTTTATTTTATTCCCCCACCCCCCACAAAAGCAGAAATTAAAGTGGCTGTGGTCAGTTTCGCTTTGATTGACACCAATTTACATACACAATGTGTGTGATACTGTGTAATTTACTGCATATCGTTTTACTTTATTTTCGTTTCTCTCTCTCCAGCCATTGTCCTCTGTTTCTTAACCCTGCATATTAGAATATTAACCCCTTGGATGGAGACAATTGTCCACATTCTGACTCAAAATAAAACCTTGAATTTAATCTATAGGTTTGTTCCACAGTAATTTAAGGGTTTCTCTTCAAGTGCCCCATACATATTACTTAAAGGACAAAAAGGGCTTTCATTTAACATCCTATATGTATACCTAACATTACACACAAACTGTTAAAAGGGGGGGAGAAATTTAAAAAAACAAAGTCATTTTTCCTTATTATTAATTTTTACACATCCAGTGCAACTAATTAAAAAAAAAAAAAATAAATAAATCAAAATGGATTCATATATAAATCCAAATTGTTAAATGCCTAATATGTTCAGGATCTATATTTTTTGATAGCTAATGCCAACCCTATACCCCCCCTCCCCCCACACTAATGCTATGTCAACCATACTCCTTGTCCAATTCTTATACTAGCTCTAACCATATGCCTATACTAATCTTACCCATAACTTCAACCCTACACTATCTTTAACCCTAAAACAGCATTCATTCTTACACTACCCTTATCTTACCCCTAAATCTAACCGTATCCCTAACCCAAACCCTAAGGTAACCCCCTGCTTATATCAATTCTATATTAGAAACTAGTTTTACTGTATTTATTGAATATTTAACACAGTAGATGGTGGTATGTTGCCACCATCTATTGAAAGTGTTCAGAATTACACTGGAATTTGAGTGCTGCACAGAGCTCATCTAAAAATGGCACCAGCTGAATTACAGGAGCCCCAGGTATCCTTTGATAGTGGTCTGAGCAGGGATTTAACCCAGCTCACACCGCAATGTTTTAATAGGCATTTCAATGCAGTTTCCGGCACTGCAAACAGTTACTTAAAAGTCTGGGTACACTGAAAATGGCCCCTGCAGACAGAGGGGAGCTTCAGGTATCCACTCTGATAGATTTAACCCTGCACACACAAATTATGCAGGGCATTTCATGAGGTCCTACTGGCATTAAAGCCCACTTTATTTAGGACAGTATAGAATGCGCTAACATCGTTAAGGGGCTAAACCATAAAAATGTTATGAGGTTTGTAAACAATTTTCTAAAAAAAAACCTGCTACTTTGCAGTTCTGTAATGGGCCACAGCTCTAATTTTGGGTGTACTGTGTTCTATTTTCTATGCATATTATTTTGATGAATACAGCTGTATTCACTAAATTGAGAATTCAAACTGAATTTTGAATTTGAGGCCAGAATAGCTGATTGGAAAACATAGCGGACATAGAATATTTCCAGGTCAAATACTTTGGCCTAAAATTTTAAATCCCTTATAGATC